CTATGGCCTTGTCCAGCCCATAGGAATGGGCAGTCATTATAACTGGAAGAGAATTAATTTGAACTTTTTACCAGTAACATGCCTGGCAGACACCGTCTGCTGGACCGCAGCAGACACCCTCCGGCACCCCAGGCAGGTGCGCAAGAGCGCGTCGGGGCTGGCCTGAAGGGAGACCCTGCTGAAGTAGCCTAGGACTCGCTCCTCCTGGCAGGCAGAGCGTGCACCGAGCGCTCCTCCACGCTTTCGCCTCGTTCCCTTTTACTCGGCAGGATACACAGAGCAGGCAAGAGGTGGTATGGAGGGAGAAACTCAAGGGCCTGCTTTTGAAAGTGTTTCTGCTCTTAGAGAAAAAGGCAGCGTTGACATCGCAGCCCAGCACGAAGGAGGCCCGGCTGCCGCTGTGAGGTGTTTCATTTCTGACAGGAAAACAAAACTGGGTCTTGAATCAGAAGATAGCACACATTTCGGTTGCATGAAGAGAAAGGAAATTATCTATTGAGTTTCTCCATGGGGAAAAATGTACTTCATTATTTTTAAAAGAACTAATAGCAAAAATCCCACATAACCCAGTTGAAATTCATCACAAGTTATGTACAGAACAGAAAATGCGAGATGTGTGTTTGGGAAATTGGGAAGATTACTGAATTCTCATATTTGACTGTTTTAAAACACTACATTCAGGACTGAAAAGCTCAAGGACCTGAGTTTGATCCCCCGTGCTGCCTGCCATGGTGGCTCCGTGCCGAGCCAGCCCAAGAAACCAGGGGTGGTGGGGCATGTCAGTAATCCAATAATCCCAGTGCTGGGGAGGCTGGGAGAAGAGGATCACTGAGTCCAAGCTGTGTAGCAAGACCCTGTACCAAACAATAAATAAATAAATAAATAAATAAATAAATAAATAAATGATTTTTTTAAAAAGAAAACACCATTCACTTCACAATGCACTAAGGCAGGTCAAATTAATGAATCTGAAATATTTTATTGCTCTGAAAAATGATACCATTAAGCTTTACCTAGGGAAAATATAGGGCCATCACACAAATTATAAACAATGTAACTCCTGAGGAGTTTGTGGTTTAGCGATATATTTTTTTTTTTTTTTTTGCCGAAGAACTAGATATAGCCATAACAAAGTGAAATATTATTGAAGAAACCTGTGTATTTAAAATGAAATAATTTTTACTGGAGTCACTTGGAAAACTACCAACTAATACCAAAGAGGATAACAAGAATTCTTAAAAGAGCAGCTCTTAAATTTGAATTGATCAAAAGCTCCTACGGGAATTTTTAAATACAGCCAGTATGCTAACGTTAAGTATGAATAAGGCCAACATTTCTCAGGTTGTGTTTTCCTCTGCTTGAAAGTGGGTGTGCTCATCGCCTGTTAGTTATTTGTGAGAGTGCTCATGCTATATGAATACTGTTTCATGGTTACGTGGGGAATTATAAATGTTTCACTGTCCCCACTCTGTAAAAGAAGCACAATTATAATGCTTTTCTTTTTTGCTTGCAGTCATTAAATATCATTTTTGCATACATTGCTGTTACTTCATCATTCATTAAAAGATTCAGTAAATGGTTTATGAAACAAAAAAAAATATACATTTTTATTTTAACCTAAATTTGTATAGTCACAGTGTAACTGTTGTTTCTACTTATAGATGTAATATGAAATTTCATTTGTAGTTAGGGAAAGCCCAATGAAAAGGATATTCATTGTAAACAGCATCTCTTAAGTATTACCTTCTATGGCAGTACCTGTGTACCACTGATGCGCACAAATATGGTCCATCCTTTATTTTATACACAGCTCCCAGCCCGCTCCTAAAATCACCATCCCCTTCTTACCTCCTTAAGAGTTGGCGCAGTGCAAAAGAGGGCTGGGGATCTAGCTCAGAAGCGAGAATGCATGCTCCGCAAATGCAAGGTCCTGAGTTCGATCCCCAGTACCACAAAAGAAACAAAAATGTGAAAAAGAAAAGTATGGGTATTACTGAATCATGGTTAACTTCTCCTCCTACTTGTCCCTCTCTCGCAAGTAAGAACATGTCAGCTTCATTTTGAAACGACCTAGCTGTGTTTTCAACACAAGTGGTTAATATTAAGCTACTCCCTCCCCCTCAGCGGGCATGAATTGCGGATAATGAAGTTATGGTATTAGGCATATTTTAAATACTTGGCATTATAAGAATCTGGGGTGTCAGTTGGTACCAATTCATCTTGGGAAACCATGAGGAATTTTCCTGGAACTTTAAAAAAAGAAAATCATTCTTTCCACAAGGGCTGCTGAATTGGTGGAGCTGGAGCCTGTGTTCGCTGACTTTACCAGTCACTACTGAAATCCTGCCTGGGATCGAGCCCCCCTTCACAGAGGCGAGCAGGACAGTATTACCGTAACAGCATAACAATGCAGCAATAACAGTATTATAACACTGTAACATCACAGAATCGTGAATAACTGTCTCGAATGAGCTTCTCTTTAGGGATTTGCCCGGCATCCTACGGAGGGGGAATTATGGTGGCCATTTTTAGGTAACAGAGAAGAACTTAAACACACAGATGAAAAGTAGTTACTTCAAAATTCTGATTTTGGAAGACACCATTCTGATTCCTTTTTTATTTTGTGCACAGTTGGACTGTTATGATGGCAATTCGGTGAAGTCAGTGTTGAACCGAGAAAGAGAATTACGGACTGAGATGCATCGAGGCAGGCAGAGTCCAGTGTGGCTGGAAGCAGCAAAACAGACTGAGTGGTGACGACACTGGAGAGCCTGAAAGCAGCCGAAGCCTGCGCCGGCACCTGCCAATTTCACAGAGTACTGCACTACTTTCTGCCGTCATTGCTTAAACTGGTGCCAACCGATACACGCTCGGGCCGGCGCTGACTGGCAGGGAGCCGCAAGCCTTCTTCCCAACCCTGGGGCTTTGGAGCTGCTCCTTGAGAACACTGGCAGGACTCTTGGAAAGTTCCCTTTGCAGTCACTTTTCTAGACATGGTAAAGAGCAAACCACATCTCCTTTATGTTCCTACAGTTGTTAAAATTCAGGAATCATTTCGACTAACACTTTTTGAGTATCTACTAAATGGTAAGTGCTTTGCATACAGTGTCTCATAGGCTCTTCACATGAATTAAATGAATTTAGGTTTGTATTCTCATTTGCCCACGAGGAACTACAACACACTAGATAAGTTCACCAAGGCCGGTGACAAATAAGTATAGGGGAGGTATAAACATTAGGCAATTTATCCCTACATAGATAAGCATCTTTAATTCTGTAATTCTGTTTCTCAGTTCAATATTGACTTTACCGAAGTGGAATCATAAGAATCCAACTGTGAACAAAATCAAAAAGGAATTAAAGTGGAGTCTTCCAAAATCAGAATTTTGAAGTAGCTACTTTTCATCTACATATATAAATTCTTCTCTGTTACCTAAAAAGGCCACCATGATTCACTCTTCATAATACGTTAGGCAAATCCCTAAAGAGGAGGACATTCAAAATAGTCATTCATAATAGTGTGACATTACAGAAGATGGAGTACGTTTGAGCTTCTAAGTTGAAGAACCAAAGAGAACTGAACAACCATGTTCTGTCACAGCCTCACTTAGAATTCACTTCCACAAAACAGACCGAAAGCATATGTGTAGCATTCACAAATCTCACCACACTTTCCAGGTTAGGTGGGACTTGTGCAGATGGGGAAGGAATTCTTCCAATTTCTATGCAGCTTATTAGGGCCAAGCAAATGCTGGAAGCTACATGAGCAGAAAGCCATCCAACCAGAAAATAATGTCTCTTCCAGGTGTGAGGTCTGGCCTGTCAAACCAGTAAGCAAGCAAGTAATGTACACATACAAACTACGCAAACAAAAATGCTACCAGCTTGGCCTGAATGGAAATCACGACTTATTTCTATTCCCACTTTGGTACTTAGAGTTTATAAGTGCAATTATAATTCCTTTCTGCCTGACTTTAACATGTTTCCATATTTTGAAAGTAAGTATATCCAAAATCTGACTATCAGTAAGAAATTCCCTCTCAGGAAAATAATAATCATCAAAATTTGAATTGCACCAAAAAGTAGTTTTAATTTTATAATAAAAAGTATTGAAATATTTTGTCAGACTAAAGAAACATTTTTTCCCTGTGGGGCTGGAGTGCAGGCCTGGTGCATGCTAGGCAAGTTCTCTACCAAAGAGATCCATCCCCAGCCTGGGCCTGGAGATTTTTGAACTCAAATCTTTCTGACTAACCGTACTACTAGGATAGGGCAGTGTTACTGACCTAAAAACACATTATAAGTCATACTCTCTCTGAATCTGAGGAACGCACATTTATGCTTTTACATGAAAGAGGTGATTTTTTAGAAGCAAATGATCATGTCAAGTGGATGACTTCCTAAGTAACATGCTTTCTTTTATATAATCAGTAAAAAACACGTTAGATTTCTCAGCCACTCTGATCTGTCATGGTTGAGCCTCAGTATTCACAGAGAACTGAGGCCACAGTGTTGGTGCAGCCGGAGGCTCTTGTTTCCCGGGCACCTCCTTGTGCTGTGGGCACCTGCAGGAGTGCACACTTGTGTTTATCACTGTGTGTGAAGTGGCGGGGCTGGTGCAGCATGCACCCAACCACTGTTCTGTAAGTTAGTGAATTGCTTTCCTCCTACAAAAACAAAAATGTGCAAACTTGATTTTCTTTTATAGTGGATGTTATTAATGTTACTGAGCAAAACTGAAATAAATTTTCTATATGCATTTCCCTTAGTGCTTACCCAGAAAATGCCTGCAATCCTTAATTTTGGGTCAAAAATGTCCTACAGAATTGTACCCTAGAAACATCCTTTTTCTGAATTTAAAGAATTGCGGGGGATTTGCCCTCCATTCCATGTATCCATTTCTACATCATCCTTTCCTGTGTTCTCCATCCTTACTCTTCTCTGACACATGTGTTTAGTTCTTTTGCTTTGTAAAATTATTGGGGTGGGGTGTGTGTGTGTGTGTGTGTGTGTGTGTGTGTCGGAACTCGTGGAATACAACTTAATGCACATATGCAAAGAATAAATCCTCCTTTGCGATCAGCACTCACTGCTTCGTGTGAGTCTTGATACGTGTGAGAAGGGGTGTTATCACCAGGCAGGAGCCTGTGACCTGGCGCTGCTGAGGCTGAGCAGGAGGGTGGAGCCTGGACTGAGCAGTGAGACTCACCATTTCATCATAAAGAAATAAACGTTATGATTATGTAATACAGAAAGCAAGGGCTGGCGAGATGGCTCAGTGGTCTAAAGCACCTACTTGGAACAAGCTTAGCGAAGCATCAGGGACCGCAGTTCGATCCCCCAGCACCACATGCCAGCCAGCCCCGCCCCCTGGTGGGCTGAGCTGGCCACACACACACACACCACACTCTCTCTCTCTCTCTCTCTCTCTCTCTCTCTCTCTCTCTAATAAATAAATAAAATAAAATAAAATAAAATAAAATAAAATAAAAAAAAGAAAGCAATCTGCAGAATTAGTATCTGTCCTTAATAGGTGAACTCACGGTCAGGCCCAGACAGGACACATGTACCTGACTGTGAGGCTTAGTTCTGACTACACTTCTCCTGCTGCAACAGCGGAGGGAATGAAAAGAAGGCTCCTTGTTTTGAGGCCGCATGATGAAGATGTCCCCCGAGCACACTTCCTCAGTGATGCTCTGGCTCTTCCTGGCTCACTATCACAAAGCAGCAGAAGAGGCGAGTTGTCCCCCAGTTGAGCAGCTCATTGCTTCAAAGTGTCACGCTGTTAAGATTTAATGTTGCCTTAACTCAAGAGAGTGGAAGATCCTAGAAATGGCACAGACAGACCCAAGATACCAAAAGGAGTTTAAGAAATTCTGAGAGGGGGTGTCATGTGGGCTTCATTGCACAGAGCAAGTGCCATCCCAAAGGGTGTGGCGTTAAATGACAGCCCTCCGGTTAGCTCTCCTCCCAAAATTCTGGCTTCCGTGATATGAAGATTCAGTGGCCCACAATGTACTTAGGTAGTATTTTTTTAGTTACTTTTCTTGCTCTCTCAGTTACTGTTTACTTGTTATTAGGACAAAATACCCAACACCCCAAATTAAACAAGGAACGGTTTATTTAGCTCACAGTTTGTAGAGTTTTCAAGCCATACTTGGCTGGCTCCCAGGGAGAGTGGCACAAGGCACAGGGCAGTAGTCCATGGCAGCAAAGAGCAAAGGGAGGGGCAGTAGCTGTGGCTTCTAGCCAGGCACTTTCACATACTTGTATTATAAAGCAGCTACCCTGGGCTGGGAGTGTAGAACTATGCAATGACCATGCTCTCCTCTTGCCCAGGATGAGGATGCTCACAAACTAAGAATCCTGGCTCTCTGCTGAGTCCCTTAATTAAACTTCTGAACTTCTCAACTTGACACGACATATCAACCATTACACTTGCTAAGACAAAATACCTGACATCCAGTGTCAAAGGTGGAATGGTTTATTTAGCTCACAGCTTGTAGATTTCATAAGTGGCTGGATCCAAGCTAGGGTGGCACATGGCAGAGGCGCAACCGTTCATGCCTCGAAAAGGCAACAAAAGCAAGGAGACAGAGCAAAACAGACCTCTTTCTGTCCCTTATATTGTATCCAGTCTACCAGGACTATGGCAATACTGATCTAATCAATGGACTGATTCAGCAGTCACTCACCCTTAACCCCAGCACCCTTAATCCATTGCACAATGAAACAATCACATAGTCTAGATTCAGTCACCTCTGAAAAAAAACCATATCACCACAGAAGGTTTTTGGGAAATATGTGTAAACAAGCCAGAACAGGTAGCTAAGGACAGTATACACTCTAAGGTTTAATTCTCCTCAATGAAAATCAACAAGCATCATAATGCTTTGGTGAGTTTCAGGAAACAAAGAGACATATTAAGCATTTGGGCAGAGGAGAGGGACGGTGAAGCCAAGACAGCATGCCATAAACCAATGTTTGTTCCACTATGAAGAATTAACTGCACCATTCTCAGTAAGCCTGGGAATTTAAAGCCTTGAGCTCTCGGGACAAGAAGTCACTGAAGCTCAAGTTTTCATCTGACGTTAAGGAAAACTGGATCAGGAAAATAGTCACTTCATGCAAAATGGAATAAGCAAAACAAAATGCACGCACAATTTTGATGTCATTCTGAATTTTTTAAAAGACAAAATAAAAAATATATATATTAAGATATATCATTAAGAAATATGCATGCATTAATATTACTGGGAGTCCAACCAAGGGCCTTATGCATGACAGACAAGAACTGTACTACCGAGCTACAAACAGTACGTTAGGTTTTGCATGTTGTTTTTAGGTCCGATTTCCCATAAAGCACGCTGCCTGTCTCGTACTTGCCACCCTCTTGCTGTAGTCTCCAAACAAACTGGGTTTATGAGCGTCTGCCACCACACCTGACATAATATATTATTTTATTAGCTACAGGCTTCATGCTGAAACCTTTGTGGCTTAAACTCACTGAGGTTTGGGACTCAAAGTTAGAGACACAGAGACACAGAGAGACAGAGACAGAGAGACTGATGTTGTCCTGGGGGGGAACATCGCTGTGCACTTGAAGGATGAACACAAGTCTCACTGAGCCAGAAGTTTCCCAATGTTTGACCTTCCAGGATTCCACAAAGTCATTTCAACTACAGGTGGACATAGTGATGTGTGTGTGTGTGTGTGTGTGTACACACACAAATACAAACTCACACCACATGCTGTGCATAAAGGAATAAGACGCCATAGAAAAGTAACATATTCATTTGAACCCACCCATTGCGGATATTGAAAATACCAGCCACAACATGTTGAATAACTATTAAGGAAATACTCAATGCTATAGACAGATGAAAAAAGGATGTGAAATAAACAGGGGTTATCTTGATTGATAGGCATATTTTCAAAGTAACACAAAGTTATGAAATCTACAAGTCTTTTGATGAATTTTTTGTGGGCTTTATATATAGTGTGCTATTCACAGATAATAAATTTAACTTCTCCTTTTCTTATTCTTATTGCTTTTACTGATTTTTCTTGTTTGATTGCTGTGGCAATGTTTCTAGCACTGTACTGACTAAAAGCAGTGATAGTGGCATCCCTGTCTTGTTCCTGATCTTAGGGTAAAAGCTTTCAGTTTTTGACCATTTAGTACGATATTGTCTATAGGTTTGTCATAAATGGCTTTCATCACATTGAGCTAAATACCATTTATTCTGAGTTGATATCATTAATGGTGTTGGATTTTGTCAACTGCTTGTTCTGTGTATGCTGAGGTGATCTTATGATTTACTTCCCTCTCAGATGAATGCGTACAAACAGCAAATAAATGAACACAAACATTCAACATCACTGGTCATTCAAGAGAGGCAAATTAAAGCAACACTGAGATTTCATCCCTCCCCAGAAAGAAGAGCTATCATTAAGAAGTCAACCACGAACAAATGCTGGAGTGGCTGTGGGGAAAAAGGAACCCTTCTCCACTGTTGGTGGGAGTGCAGACCACTGCAACCATTGTGGACATCAGTGTAGAGATTTCTGAAAAAAACCCCAGCATTAAAGGTACCATTTTACCCAGGTGTTCCTCTTCTGGGTATCACCAAAGAAGAAGCAAACACATCATACCACCACCCGTTTGTAGCAACACAGTTTATAATATCTAAACCTTGGAAAAAGCTCAAATGCCCAACAACCAAGGAATAGATAAAAAGATTTTTTTATAGAATGAAATACTACTCAGCCATAAAGATGGGTAAACTTGAGCTATTTCTCAGTAAATGATTGCAAATTGAGACCGCACTCGTAAGTGAAAAAAACTGGGCACACATATGTAAATATCATATCCTTTCTATAGTATGAGAAATCAAATGTATAAATAAGGACCAAAATGTACAAGAGATGTTGTGAGATAGAAAAAAAAAAAACTGTTCAAAAGAAAGGACAACCTGGGAGTGAGAGGGGGAAATAAAGAAGGAAAATTTTAGAAAATGCCAAAATGAGCCTAACTCTTAAGGGAAATAAATCAGACACACACATTTAAATACCACATTGTGAGACACTAAAAGGGTAGATAAGGACCAAAATGTATAACAGGTACTAGGGAACAGGAAACAAAAAAGAACTGGGATGAGAGAGGGGGAACAGAAAGAAAGAAAAAGAAAAAAAGAGAATAGAAATAGAAAAAAAAGAGAATGAAAATACAACAATTCTGTAAATAAAGAGGGAAAGGGGGAGGAAGGGATGAGAGGGTATTGAGAAAATAAAAAAGAATCAGGATTCATGATATATAGATCCAAACTCTGATGAATATGTTTATCACGTATATCCAAAATATACCAATAAAATTAATGTTCAAAACCCTACAAAGTTATTTTTGGAAATCAAAAGCAAATATCATCAATGCAAAATGAATCAGGGAATAGGATAAAGAGGATTAGGCATACATGAAGAAAGAATTAATGAAGCTGAGAATGGAATCAAACAAAATGGCCATCCTGCAAGCCACTATGGCAGAGTAAAAGTATAAATAGACGGTAAGAGATGTTAGTTTAGAATTAGAAAGCATAAATTTATCTAACTGAAATATAAAATAATGGCATGAAAAGACATGGAAGAAGTAACATTTGACATATTAGAAGTTTTGAGAAACGCTGAATAGACAGATGAATGATATCTGTGACCTGTAGACACAGACATGTATGAGCTACTTAATATGTTCAGAGAGCATAAGACACTTAAAAGAGAAATCTATAGCCAAACGCATCATAATGCAAGCACAAAAATCAGCAAAAATTAGATGGCCTTAAAGGTAGCTTATAGGAGATGAATGAGGTGTGGCCAGAGCACTTTGAAAGGTGGGATAGATTGATCAGAGACTTTTTGAGAGCAGGCACTGGTGCCAGAGGACCAGATTTCAGTGTTTAAAAGCAGCTCTTCTGCAGGAAGGTGTGGGAAACCCTAATGGTCAGCATTTCTGAGCCCTGCAGGTTGAAAGCTCCTATGTTGGACCTTTCGAGGTCCCATGGTGGCATCACCAAGTGCAGAGTACAGGAAAGATGTGGATTCTCCTTCCCTGGTAGAAGCCAGTGGCTAGTGGCCCCAACAAACTGGGTTCTTTTGTGTTGAGCTGTATGTTGAACAACATTATCTTCCCTAAATGGAGGTGAAGCAGGAACCTTTTCCAGCTAACAAGGTTACAATCAAGGGACCTTTACACAGGAAAAAGCTTTTGATTCAGAAATAAAGAAATTGAATCTGGGCAAAAGTAGAAAGGTCTGAGATGAACAAATGGCGAGCAAAAAGCTACTGGCTATATTAGTAAATCAAATAAAGAGTATCCACCAAAACTAACAATTCCTACTATTAGGAAGGGGAAATGGGATAAGAAATAAACAAAACTCAACCCAGAGGCCAGTTAGTATTGATTGGTTCATTCAACTGCCACTTGAGAAATGAATACTGACATTTTCTAGACAACTGTGGCTAAGCTTTTGGATTCTCATAGTGTTCTATAAAATGTGTCCCCTTTATACAACTAAAAAAAGAGAAAAAAACAGTGAAATGACTCATGTTCTTGATTTTTCACCTTTTCCATTGTCCAGCAGACCTCAGTGGCATGAGGCATGCTTTGCAGCGGTCTTTATTGACCTCCTGCCTCTGACAACTGGACCTGCCCTACTGCAGTCTCCTTGGATCCTGGAATTTGGGGTAGTACCAGTCGGTAATCAGTAGCTTCCCTGATCCTCATCAATCCACTTGAAACAGCATTCCAAAAGCCCATGAGTGGAACTTACGTTGTGAGTACTACACCAATTTTGTTAAGTAACTGACATCTTCTTTTGAACCCAAGCCTGCCTAGAATGTCCAAAGTTGTCAGGTATTCCTGGATGGTAATGTAACAGAATACCAAAGTCCGTGACAGAGTCAAATGAATACTGGAAAGCCAAAAACAAGCAGGTGGAATCAGTCCAACCATACTACCAACCTCAAAATGCGGAAGGAGCCACACCAGACAGCCTAAAATAAATGCCAAGGCGGGTATAATGTCGCGACTCAACTGCATGCTCCTCATAAGCCATACGTAAGGGTTAAATGGAAAAGAAAGATTGAATGGATGAGAAGGACACAAAGGCAAACTAACCAAAGCACAACTTGGAATAGCCATATTAACGACAGATAAAATCAATTTAAGTGCAAGAAGATATTAAGGTTAAAGAATTTCATTAAGTATGGCAAACATGTTCACCTCATCAAGAACACATAAAATTTTCAATTTTCCATGTACCTAATAAATACTTTGATATAGAACATAAAAATCTGTCAAACTTCCAGTAAAAAAAAAATCCTCTGTTGCAGTGAATTTCAATCTGTCAACTGTCCACATTTTGCATTTTGAACTTAAATAAAAATCAAACAAATGGAAGTAAAGCATTATACAAATTTAAAACATATTAATGTAAAATCAAGTAAACTGGCTTGTTACTGCTATTACTGTTGTTATTTATGGGCCTTGGGTTTAAACTTACAGCCTTTCCACTGAAGCACACTTGTGGCCCTTCTTATTTTGAGACAGGCTTGCTAAATTGCCCCAAGTGGGCTCAAACTTGTAACCCTCCTGCTTCAGCCCACTTATTATATTACTTGTTCCCTTTGCTACTTTGCTTTCACCAATGGAAATAAATTCCATTCTCCACATTTGCATGCATCTAAATATTATCTTTGTGGTTTTTTGCATTTCAGTAATTTTATTGAGGGCCGGGGATATAGCTCAGCAGTGTAAGCACCTGCCTGGCAAGCACAAGGTCCTGAGTTTGAGCCCTGGTACCACCAAACAAATAATAGTAATTTTATTGAAAGGTACATGTCTTATCACCAAATGCAATGGTAGTTGATTAAGTTATCACTGCCAACTGAAAATTAATACTGATGTTTTCAAAATATTGAAATAAATCAGCCTTTTGGTGAAAGTGAAGTTATTCATAAAACATGATTTACAGGAAGTTAAAGGTAGAACATACAGTGGTTCCTTGGTTTACTTTTCAATGCGTATTTCTATAGCATGACAGCACAATTGGCTGCGTCCTTCCGCACAGACTCAGGCTGCAGGCCTGGCGGGGCGCTGCTCACAGCGCCAGCAGTACGTACACACTGCCGCACTCGCTGGCCCACACAGAGAAGTCCAAATGCTGCCGCGGGGATCTCATAACTACGCAGGTGCCCGCCTACTTTTCTTAAGACACAGTATAGAAATTGCGAAGGTCTATTCTATTACTTTAAGAAAACAAGCAACTAGAAGCAATGGTAGTTTTATAGAAACAACTCGTAGAAAAATCCAGAGTGCTTTAATCTAGCCAGAATGTATGTTAAAGCAAGTGTTTAGAGTGGTAATTGATTATAAGCTACTACATAATATAATAGAAAAAAATTAATGGAATGAGACTGAGGAAGTGTGTGTGTGTGTGTGTGTGTGTGTGTGTGCGCGCGCGCGCGCAGGGTCTCACTGCACAGGTTGGACTCGTAGTGATCCTCCCGATTTCCACCTCCCCAGTGCTGGGAGGACAGGCATGCACCAGCACGCCCGGACTCCATCGCCTGCTCAGCATGCCTGGCGGCGGAGCTGGAGTGGCACCTGTGCCAGGGATTGAGAGCTGCGCCGTGCACTTACCTAAGCAAGCACTTAGTTCCTTCAGCTATATTGCCAGCCTCTAAGCAAGTAGATTCTGTATGGAAATTTGCATCATTGACATGAACATAACCTGTTCTTTTGTTGTTGTTGTTGTTTTGTTTTTAGGAGAAATGTTAAAGACAGCTCATATGAATATGCTAAACTTACTAGGTCTATATTTAGGCTTAATAAAAAAAGTTCTTAAATTTAAGTGCAATCAGAAATCTTGACTTTAGACTTCGGAAACCCCAAGAGTGAAAGCGTCAGCTTTGAACTGCAAGGAATGCCAAAGGGAGGTATTTACTCATTCATTTGTTTTAACAAAGCACCTCCGAAAGATAGTAACCAGAGCGACAGACCTACCCGCTAGCTTGCCCAAGACGAGCGACCTTACGGTCCTGAACTCGACTTCGGGTGAGAAGTTATAACTCAGCCGGAGTTGTTGGTCCATCTGCGAGAAAAGAGAAAACAAAGGCTGTCAGCCAGCGTGCTCCACTCAGGGGCGAGCTGCGCGCATCCGGAAAGAGTTGGAAAGCCGCCCGCTGTGAAGATTCCTCCTGGGGTCCTTCCTGCAGAGGACTCAGATGCCCGTCTAATCCTCCCACAATGCCCGTAAAATACTCCTTGCTTCCTTCTGTGGGAGATGAGGCTTTCGCAGGCGTTAAAGCTTTTGACAGGCATTTATCTCTCCGCGGAGATTTTCAAATTCTTCGCTGCAAACAAGTAAACAAATGCAACCCGCCTTGCAGCTGCCACGCAGGCTTGACGACCGACCGGTGGGAAGGCTGGCCCCGTCCCTCCCTTCGGCCCTCGGGCCTCAGCCCGCCACGGTCCTCTTGCTCCAGAATCGTGCTCGGGCCTGGACGGGGACTGAGCGGCTTTGCTGGGCCAGAGCTGCAGCAGCCGGACAAGCTCGGGGCTGCAGACAGGAGAGGCGCTGAGCGCCGCTGACGCCCTGCGGGGCGGCCTCGCTACCCCGCCAGCCCCGCGCTGCCGGGCCGCCCTTCGGGGTTGCCTTCTGGCCTCGTCCGCCCCAAACCCAAGGCCGTCTGCTCGTCCCCGCCCGCCTCTAGGCGGCGTTCTGCACCCACCGCGCTATTCCGCTCAGTCAGATCCGTCCAGCGGCTTCCGGACCGCTCCGAGCACGCCCAGGAGGTCTTCCTCCCGGGCTCCTCCCGCCCTGCGGCCGGCAGTGCTCCTCACGGAGGGGATGAGGGCGCCAGGGCTCGCGTGCCCGGCGCGGGCCCCGCAGCAGCGGGTGCGCCGCAGTGCCACGCCCTCTGCCCTTCCTGCTCGCTCGGCCTGCGGCCCAGGCCCGCCCTCTGGGGCCTCCCCGCGCTGGGGTGGCTGCTGGCGAACGTCGCGGCTGAGACCCCAGCGCGTGCCTGTGTGCTTTGTGACTGTGAGGACTTCAACCGCTTTCCTCGTGTTTGTCCCTTAACGAACGGTGGGATGCGGGAGACATGAAACCAATGCACTTCTTCCTAATCTATGTCTCTCTAGGGTACTCTGAGGCAGGTCCCATGATTCCTATTAATATTAATATTATTAATAAGAATTACAATTGCATTAGTATATTTCATTATATTGCACGTTGATAGTAGTACAGGTGGGGAAACTGATGTCACAGAGGTGAGCGGTTTGACCCTGGGCTGACCACATCAAGGAAGTGGTGGCCCTTGCCGTGTGGCTCGCGTGACCCAGGACACCCGGTCTGCTTGCTGCGCTTCACTACGTACTGGAACACCTGGAGAACGCGTCACTACGTACTGGAGCGCCTGGAGAACTTTTTATTTTATTCCTAAATCCTCACAGCGGATATTCCATAAACAGTTGCATAGCTACTGCGTGCCGGGAGCTTCGTAGGGTCGCCCTGACCCTCCTGCTCCACATGCTTTTCCAGCTTGCAGCGGATCCTTTTCTTTCAAATTCGTATTAGTACGTGTTTGCAGTGCATGACTTTTACATTCATTTCTGGGAGCAGTGGGATAGCACAGCTTGATTCTCTTTCAGCCCCTTCCTCTTCCTGCCCACCTCTCTCCTTCCTTCTCCAAACTTCCTTTCTTCACTTTCGTTCTTACTCTTACTATCATCATTACTAGGATTGCTATTGCTCGCATTGTTGTTCTGATCATTTTCTATCACTTAAGACATGTAATGTCATACTCTATATTCACTGTGGGCATGTGGACATGTGGGAGGGGCGACCCATCTTACCTGTTGTCACAGCACTCCCTCCCCTCCCCCATACTCTCCTAGACTTTTTAAAAAAATCTCTTACTTTGCAGTAAGGTGCTGCATTACAATAATCTCTCTCTCCCTCCTTTTCTTGTTCTCTCTCTCTCTCTCTCTCTCTCTCTCTCTCTCTCTCTCTCTCTCTCCCTCCCTCCCTCATAAACTCATAATCTATGGATTGAGGGTTACAACTACCTCTAGGTATTCTTATTTTTTTCTGTTGGAAATAACAACTGGCACAGCTTGCTGAATGAATGAATAAATAAACATCTTGTATTGATTGCCTTCTTGGTAGGCTACAAAGACAGATTCCATACTAATATCAGGATGTCTAAGGCAGCTTCCACACCTTTGGGCACAAGGAGTCTTTGGCACCCTTGGTCTCCACCCGTGCTCTATTCAGGGCCCACAGACCCACATGTGGCCCTAGCCCTGGACCAGCTCTCTTCTGTTTCCGCAGAGTTCTTGCCTGCTTCGTCTGTCTTCTCTCTACAACCATCTCTTCCCGCAAGGTGCACAGTGCCTTCTTTCAGGCTTTTCTGCCTGGTGAGAAGGTGGAAGGCAAATGGGGATGTCCTGCCAAGGGAAGAGCAGTGGCAGGGATCTTGGAAGTGGAGTTGGAGCTGAGAGTCCCTTGGTCCTCTCCTCACCACTCCTCAGGCTCCACATGAGCAGCTCTCAAACAGTTCTCTGGTCACAGGGCTTTGCTCCAGCACCACTCAGGGAAGTGTCCTCTGTCCCAGTACCCGAGCTATTCTTGCCCCAGATTTTGCTTGGTGAGAATGTGTTCCATCCTTCATTCCTTCACCAGACTAGTAGCAGAGGGAGAGAAGGTAAGTGAGACTGGGTTAAAGGAGCTTGTGCCCAGGGTGTAGCTCAGCAGCACGAGCACCTGCCTGGCAAGTGCAAGGTCCTGAGTTCCAATCCTGATACAAAAAAAAAGAAGCTTTCACCAAAAGCACATTTGTAAAAGCTGGGAGATGAGGGTGGGAGGGCAGGCACCAGCCTTAGCCCACAGGGGACACCTTGCTGTAGTGCAGCGTCAGGTGTTAGGCAGCCTGTTTACAAAACAGAGCCCATGCAAGAGCCATACAGGGATGTACAAAGATTGCTTTAAGGCTTCATTATTTATCATACAGGCTAAGAAATCAATGATGTAGACAGCAACACAGGCATTCTTTTATTCATTCCCATAGAGCCACTTTATTCTTCGCATTGCTTTCTTCTGTACTTACAACTGGTAAGGGAATAAGGGGTAACTCTCTGAACTCTTTACACCTCTAGGATAGCTAAAGTTTGCAGCCTGCCTTAGAGAGGCTTAGTCCACGTCCAAGCCTAGAGAACTCAGAGACGCTGACAAGTTATTAAATGGATGACTTAAAAAAAAGAGGAAAGCAGATAAAAACTTTTTTTTTAAGCAAGCCCCACATGTCAGATTTTTGCTCTTGAGTTTTTAGCTATATTCCTTCACACAAGCTCTGTGAGAACTTAGTCTAGTTGCATTCATCCTTGTGTAGACAGGGAGATAGGAGATAGCTAGCTAGCTGGATATGCAGACTTCTAAGTAGACTTGGTCAGAAAGATACATCTTCTCTTAGGATCACGCAGCATAAGGAACAGACTGAATTCACACCCAGGCATCTCTTCCTGGATGGATACCTCCCCTAGCCTTAGACTCTTCACTTTATAAAGAAAGAAATTAACTAGTTCTAAAAATTATCTACCCTCTCCTTTAGATCTCATGACCATGCTGCTGTTTGGTTAAAATGGCTCAATCTCTGTAATGTTGGAGTATATCTTAAATAAGGATGCCAAATTTCACCACTACACCCAGGACATTTGGTGCGAGGGGGCAGGAGGTCCTTACTCTTAAAAATTACTGGCCAGTTGGAATCCTGGAGCTTTTTCGGAGAGTTCTTTCTCATGGCTGTAGACCCAGGTTCTAAGACCTTTATGTGGCCACAAAGAGCAGAGCAGAGGAGGAATAGCAATGTGGGACTAGGGACTTTGGGGGAAGCGACCCTTAATGCCTGTTCGCTGGATGAAAGGGACTGATGTATCAGCCATCTTCTCTTTCACAGGTATAGCAGTCGCTGAGACATCTTCCACAGGGTGTGGGGGGACCAGGATTGCACTATTAGCCTTCCTTTTCCAACTGGGACTGAAAAGCTTATTGTAGGGAAAGTGAAGCAAATCACCCTGCCTGGGGGAGGGGACTGGACCGAGAAGAGACCAGTGTGCCATGTTCCTGTGCTAAGGAAAGTCTGAAAGCTAAAGCTTCTGCGATTTTTCTGCTCCTCTCACACATTAGCAGCAATCTGCTCACCTGATGGCTGTGCACTACTGACTATAAGTTCACCATGCAAATTCCTCACATAGAGGATTTCTTTCTTGGTTTCCTATTTGCAACTTTTTGTAAGTGGACACGATACTAGGCATAGTAGAAGAAAGGAGCCATATGTGCAAATGTAAAAATGTGCACCAGAACATGCTCCCATGTCCCCATTTGGACCTCAGTCAGAACCCAGGCAAATGACTCGGAGTCCCCATTCCTTTCAACACAGGTGTGCCCAGAGGCCCTTCTGCCCGCTGGTGCCTGGAGGAACTGCTGGAGGTACGCCCATGAAGTTCTGATGACCTGGGAACTGTTCCTACTGCAGGGCTGGCCATTACAGCTGACCGTTACTCCTGCATGTCCGTCAGTGGAGGTAACTGATAGTTATTCTAACTTCTCGAGTATCTCATAGCCAAATGGATAACAATGTTGCTGCCACTCCTCCTGTGACCTCTGCCAAACCCATCTCTCCGCAGCTTCCCTGTCTCTTCAGGACTCATCTCGGTCTGTGCCTCGTCACTGTGAAATCTGTCCTTCCACCTAGTGAAGACAGGGAAGGCGTGGACCTGAAATCACAGCAGTGCCTCCCGGGCCTAAAGGCTGATGCTTTACTGCCCACTACACAAGGTCAGCTCAGTCTTGGACACACAGGACCTGAAGCCCAGCAGAATTCTTCCATTTAGTTCTCAAATATTTGTTCAATGCTTCTTGTATTTTAGCCAATCTCTGGGAAAGCAGGGATTCCACAATAATGAGGACAGACAAACATCCAGATTGTCATGAGACTGACATTACGGAGGAGGCAGACAGCAGCAAAGGTACAAGAAATGAGGAGATTTTATTGGATGTCATGTGGCATCAAATTCTGAGACAAAGGAGTAAAGCAGGTAAAGGCCATGCAGACCGTAGGACCGAAATCTAGTGGAAAAACTGCAGCACTGAGAAAGAGTTAGGGCTAAACACACATCTGAGATGAATTCATCTGCGTACACATGGTATCTACAAACATGAGCCTGACTGAGAAAAGCGCTGCAAGTTTCGTTTGCTTGGAAGAGCACAACTACACAAGAGAAGGCGCTGAGGACAGAGCCCTGCAGGGGCCTGGTGGGGAGAGAGGAACCAGGAAGGCTCAGACGCCCGCGGCACAGGATGGATGGCTGACAGAGGAAGAGAAAGCAGGCAAGAGCAGGGTACAGAGAGCAAGCCAGACCAAGCGGAACCCACAAGCAGGGAGCCATCACAGTGTCAGCGGTCCTGGGAGGATAGAGCCGGACCAACAACTTCTATGAGAAAACGTCACTGGTGCTCATGAAGGGCAATTGTGGTGCCATATGGGAAGAAAATCCCTGCTGGTGTGGGGATAAGGAGAGGGAAGCATCATTTGGAAACCAAGTAGGTGGACACTATTGTCATGACTTGGGCATACAATGTGGAAGAAGACAGGACACTCAGTGAAGACTGGTAGAAACTGGATTTCTTCCCTTGACCCAAATAGGCTTCTGTGTGTTTATTTTTTGTGTCAGTGTGTGGAATAAGCACTCATTTCATGCTTTGGGAAACCATCTAGTAGAGCTGAAAAAACAGGAACAAGAAAGGGAGGAAGTGCTTCCTCCCCAGGCTACTGCGGGTGAGTGGGCGCTGGGATCTGACCCACTGGGGGAGGGCTTAGATAGGACCTTGAAGAGTGCAGACTCAGTAGCCAGAGAGCAAGTGCGAGGGAGAGAGATGGGCAGGTGGGGAGTGGGCCATGGTGGCATGGGTATTTTCTCCTTAATGCTACATTTCTTCAAAAAAGGAAGAAAACAAAGTGTTAAGTTTTGTGTCTAGTTGTCCCCCCCCAAAGCCTGCTGCAGTCACTGGGGAGGTTTCTAGAGTTTGTGGTTGATGCGAGCTCCAGTGCGGGGACTGTGGGCGTGAGTGCTGCACTCGCCCT